CCCAAAACCCCAAAACCCCAAAACCCCAAAACCCCGGGTTTGTAGACGAAGGCTGAAATGTTGTGGTAAAGAAAGTAATTGGGATTGGCATATAATTCTAATACAAGGCACAGAGACTCTGTTCTTAGATAAATGTATCAAAAGAATGAGAGAGAGTGACCTTTGGTAGAATTATTGTATCATTTAGGAGATGATTTCACTGGTGTTGGTAGAGTCGAAGAAAGGGTTTATTTCTTCATCCGCACAAATTTCTCCATATCTTTTCAAGCCAGTTGCCACTTTGGCTTTATACTGTGATCTTCTGTTCACATATTTTTCTTGCTCCATATCACAAACTGCTATATCTTTGTTATCTTGGGAAACCATTAGATTTTCGTATGATCTTATAGCGACCTTGGTCTTTTTATTCTCTTCCTTCTTATCAGGTACCTCTTCATGAATAATATTAAGATGCTTACTTCCAAGCTTAGAGATAAGACCATCAAGTCTAGTATCTTCAGATGAGTTAGGTCCCATTTTAACTATTGAGCTAGTCTCCTCATAATTTCCCTTCAAATCATCCTTGAATGTTTCTACATAATCTTTGGGGCTTGGATCTGTAGTTCTCTCTAAATACAATTTTTATACAAAAGTAGATAATAATTTTACGTTTTTTAATTTTTCTGATCAAAATAATCAGATTGAAAAAATTGCGAATTTGATATAAATTCTGTTCTTCAATTCTGACAACTTATAATTTCTAGAAATGCGATTGCATTCAGCCAAACGAGTTAAAATAAAAATTGGTGAACGATTCATTTTATTTCTCCATTGCTTTAAAAGGAATTTAAAGAAGATCGGCTCCAGATTAAGTTAGCTAAAAGCAAAGTTTAAGTAAAAATGTTCACATAGATTTTAGATTTTGAAAAGGCATAATTATTATAAAAATGTTTCTGCCCTATTAAACAGCTTTTGTGCATTAAGAATTCATTTATTCTTCAAGATTTTATTCTTTTGTTTATTAACTCTCTGAAGGTCATTAACTTGGTAATTAAGCTAGTCAATAAGATATTAAGAATACAAGAATTCTGAAGAAGGAAGAAGGCTTGAAAGTTAAAAGTTTAGCTTAAATGTGCTCTTAAGAACAGAATAATACATCCCGATATTTTATAGCCAAAAGTGATCGAACTTTTCAACTAAGGAGCATAATCACTTAGGTGGAGAATACTGAGCTGTATTATACTGTGAAGTATTTTCTCTATTAACAAGATTTTAAAAATAGTATTTTAAATAACATAGTGTCTCTTTGATAATATCCTTCCTACTGTACGGTAAATGGATTTGGCTACCTTTAACTAATTGATCGTCCATCTTTGACACTCAAAGCGTTTATTTATATAATTAAAATTTCTCAGGCCAAATATAAATTCACGGGGTTTTGGGGTTTTGGGGTTTTGGGGTTTTGGGG